GTTTTTACTATCCTTCTGAAGTTCAGGAGGGAGGGGGCTGATCTGATCTCACAAGGAAGGGAGTTCCATAGGCAGGGGGCAATCACCATGAAGGCCCTCTTTCTTGTCCCCACCAACCACGTCTGTGACAGTGGTGGGACAGAAAGCAGGGCCTCCTCTAAAATAAAGAGCAACAAGGGAATTAAAAAAAAGGGGGATTCCTGACATGAAACTATCAGGGCCAGCTAACACCTCCCAGCAGAGGATTCCCCCAGGCAGGAAGCAGCAAAGCTTTGAAGCTGCAAGGCAATTCAATGCTAATCAAGATGGCCATTTGCAACATTCACATCTGCTTCAAGCTAACGAGTTCTTTCTTCCACCCTGGACATTCCACAGATATATAAACCCCACTTATCTATGGCAGTTTCCAACAGTCTCACAACCTCTGAGGATGCCTGCCATAGATGTGGGTGAAATGTCAGGAGAGAATGCTTCTGGAACATGGCCATACAGCCCAGAAAACCCACAGCAACCCGTGATTCCAGCCGTGAAAGCCTTCGTCAACATCAAATCTGACTTAGTTGTGAAAAACAGTTCCCAAATATGTTCTCCTCTTACTTCTCTGCTTCTTTCACCGCATTGAGTCGCCTGTTTGGGCTGAAAAATGCGGTATAGAAATAAAGCAAATAAATAAATAAATAAATAATTTCAAGTTTCAATGCTACCAACATTCCTGCCCTGTACTCAGCAACTCACTGTCATTCACCTGCATGTTCTCTCTGGATGCCGAAGTAGCTAGTGCCTCCCAGAAAGTGCAAATCTTAGAAAGTACAAAGATACTTTGAATACTATTTTGTATACTATTTGTATACTATTTTTGGAGCCCTCAGTGGCTCAGTGGGTTAAAGTGCTGAGCTGCTGAACATGCTGACCTAAAGGTCACAGGTTCGAATCTGGGGAGTGACGTGAGCTCCTGCTGTTAGCCCAAGCTTCTGCCAACCTAGCAGTTCAAAAACATGCAAATGTGAGTAGGTCAATAGGTATCGTTCCAGCAGAAAGGTAGCAGTGCGCCATGCAGTCATGCTGGCCACATGACCTTGGAGGTGTCTACGGACAACGCCGGCTCTTCAGCTTAGAAATGGAGATGAACACTCCAGAGTCTAACATGACTGGAATTAATGTCAGGCGAAAACCTTCACCCTATACTAGTCTAATGTTGCTTTAATCAAAGTGTTAGTTCTCCCTCAAGCCAAAATTTCTTAGCCTAAATTTTCCATCAGTCCCATGGAAGGGAAGGCATTAAGGCAATGTCTACAACTTGGATGGCCTCCAAGCAATTTTCTTTCATATCCAAAGGCATCTCATGTTCACAAAGCTGCTAAGAAGGCATTGTAGTCAGAACTTTATGTCACTAATTTGAGATAAATAGAAAACCCTAAAGATGTACACAACTCTTGGCACTAAGATTTCTTTGAGTCTGTGTTCATACCTGCCTGACACAGCCTTTTTCTTGGGTAAGTATAAAAGTTTTAATGGGTTGTACAAAGGGAAACAAAGGCCTTTTGAAATGTGTTACTAATTATTTAGATCTCTCATCAAAGGCTCAACACTTTTACTCCTGGCAAACAACTCGGGAGCTTTGTATCGTCCCTGCCTTTCCCAATCTAACTTTTCTCTATTTATATTGTAACAGTCCTGTAAACAAAATGATAATATTCCAAATCCAAAAGAGCAGGTGCAGAACAAGTACCTATAGGAGAAAAAAAAAAGATGTGTGAAGTACATCTCTTTTACACACTAAAATAGGGCTTATATTTCACATTAGAAAAAGCCATAAATATTTCCTAACACCCTGCTTGTGCTTGTCTCCGCCACACTGGCCACTGCCACATTTGGCATGCTGACAAGGTGCACAAAAGCACACTACCTCCATTCAGTTCAGAAATGTAAATGCTCCAAATCCTTTTCTGTCGCCTTAGAACTCCTCTCCGCCCCGGCTGCCCCCAGTCTTTTAAGGGAAGTCTGGCAGCTCTGGAAGGGAGCCAGATCTTGGCCAGGAGAGAAGCACAGCTAAAATGTTCAGGGGACAAAGAAGTGATTAGGCACGATGACACTAAATCAATATCACAATCTGCAGCCGTCAGAACTGACAGTCTAGTGAAGCGGTGGAATGATACACACGAATAAGTAAGTCATCATCTTTAGTAAGAGAAAAGGCTTTTCACAAAGGATGATGAATACTCTATACATTTGTCACATCCTTTAACAAGGGAGTATAAATAACATAATTAGTTCCTCTGAAATATGTGGACTATTCCTATTGAAAATAAGAAAGAGCCTTTTGGTTAAGGCCCTAAATTAAATTGGATGAAAATCTTTATTTGGGTTGTTGTAGGTTTTTCGGGCTATATGGCCATGTTCTAGAAGCATTTTCTCCTGACGTTTCGCCTGCATCTATGGCAAGCATCCTTAGAGGTTGTTACAACCTCTGAGGATGCTTGCCATAAATGCAGGTGAAATGTCAGGAGAGAATGCTTCTAGAACATGGCCATATAGCCTGAAAAACCTACAACAACTCAGTGATTCCATCCATGAAAGCCTTCGACAATAAATCTTAATTTGTTGATTTATTTTGCCACAATAAAGGCATGCTAATCTCAAATGTCTAATATCCCAAACCCCATCACTTCTTTGGTGCTGCACTCCCTTCTTCTCCAATTCCACAGTTCATACAAGTTGTGTGCTTTATTCAAAGGAAAGAAACACAGCAATAAGATCACTACAGTTTACTACTAGGAGAAGGTAAAGATTTTCCCCTGAAATTAAATCCAGTTGTGTCCGACTCTGGGGTTGGTGCTCATCTCCATTTCAAAGCCAAAGAGCCAGTGTTGTCCATAGACACCTCCAAGGTCATGTGGCCGGCATGACTGCATGGAGCACCGTTACCTTCCCAACAGAATGGTACTTATTGATCTACTCACATTTGCATGTTTTTCAGCTGCTAGGTTGGCAGAAGCTGGGGCAAACAGCAGGAGCTCACCACGCCCGTCGAATTTGAACCCACAACCTTTCAGTCAGGAAGTTCAGCAGCTCAGCGGTTTCACTTGCTGCACCACTGGGGGCTCAGTTTACTACTATTACATTGGATTCTCATATAGAATTAGCACACAAACCGAAAAACCCCAAGTTTGGGAGACACCCATAAACATATGCTAGTCAACCTGAGAAAAGTGGAAGAAAGGTATATCTCTTTCTCAATCTTGCAGTTTTAATCCAAGGTGCAGCTACGTTGAAGAATGAATGCAGTCTGACTTCACTTTAACTGGCATGGCTCAATATTATGGAGTCCTGGAGTTGTAGTTTTATAAGCCATATCTGCCAAAGAATCCTAGTGCCTCATAAAACTACAACTTCCAAGATTCCATAGCATTAATCCATGGTAGTTGAAGTGATAACAAACTGCTTTAATTCTACTGTTGATGCACCTCAGATGAAACTGGTAGTTTGTGCAGGGATGCGCGTGTGTGATAGGTTTTTCATCTTTTGAAGCTTCTCTGCTAAAGCTGCCAACACATTTTCACTGTCTAGAAGAGCCCTGTTATTTTATTCATAGGCTTTTCCATGACATAGGAGCAAATTCTAAAATCCTCACATTTTTCTCAAGTACAATTCAGGGAGAAATCCAGGCATTTTAATTAACAAACGCTTATTTAGGTTCTTCTATATAGCAGAGAGGGGCTGCAGTGGCACAGCAGGTCAAACAGCCAAGCTGCAGAAGTTGCTGACCAGAAGGACAGCAGTTTGAATCAGTGAGCGCCCATTGTTAGCTCACCAGAGGCGGCCCTAGGTAATTTTCAATGGTAAGCAAACAGTATTTTGGCGCCCCTCCCCCCAACCAATCATTGATATATATTTTCTGTTCGTCGTGGGAGTTCTGTGTGCCATATTTGGTTCAATTCCATCATTGGTGGAGTTCAGAATGCTCTTTGATTGTAGGTGAACTATACATCCCAGTAACTACACTTGCCGCATTTGCTCCCTTGCCTGGCCCGCTTTGGGTCCGGAGGCATGCCTGAAGACCCCAGCGTGTGCACCTCTTCTCCTGACTTTCTCCTCAGCCATTGGGACCAAGAGAGAGAGAGAGAGACAGAGGTGGAGATGCCCACCTTTCCTGAAGGTAGGTGCAAAAACAAAGGAGGGAGCGGAGGTGGGAGATACCTCCAGCCGGAGGGGCTCTCTCTCTCTCGGTCCCAATGGCTGAAGAGAAAGTCAGGAGAAGAGGCAACTTTTGGTGCGCATGCTGGGGTCTTCAGACACGCCTCCGGACCCGAAGCAGGCCAGGCATGGCAGCTCCGCCCCTTGGCCCACTCGCGGATTGGGGAGAGGAGAGGAGGCTGGTGGAGCGCCGGGGGATCGGGAAAGGGAGCCGGTCATGGGGAAGGGATCAAACGTGGAGAACGATTGAGCGCCGGCTATGCTCGCGCACCCGGTGGCCGGGTGGAGCAGGAACAAGAGGGGCTAGGCGAGGCTCAAGGGCCCGGCCCCTTTGGGAAGAGGATCACCCGGCAGCGAGGCAAGAAAGCCTAGGCTCCCTCCAGACTGCTAGGGCTGTTGTGAACTGAGGGGGGCGCTCCTCAAGTGGCGGTCAGGGGGCATTTACAGAGGCGCCTCTGCGCCCCTGGCAAAAAAAAAAGTGTTCTGCGACCGCTTACTTCGCATAATGGACGAGCCGCCCCTGCTCCAGCTTCTGCCAAATGAGCAGTTTGAAAACATGCAAATGTGAGAAGATCAATAGGTACCACTTTGGTGGGAAGGTTATGGTGCTCCATGCAGTCATGACCTAGGAAGTGTCTATGGACAATGCCAACTCTTCGACTTAGAAAAGGAGATGAGCACCACCCCCCAAAGTTGGACTCGACTAGGCTTAATGTCAAGGGGAAACCTATACCTTATCTAGCTAAGGTGTGATAGACATCCTTCCTTTCTGCATTGTTACGACAGCATTGTTTTATACATTCCAGGTTATATATCGGGCCCTATCACCGCCGTATGCTGCTGAGGACCCCTACAGCCCCGAAGCTCAGGCCCAGTTGAAGATCACTAACCTTCGAGTGCAACTGCTTAAGCAACAGTCCTGTCCCTGCCACAGCAATGACTTGAATGCAAAACCTCCACAGCTGAACTACTACGCAATCTATGATTTTATTGTAAAGGGGAGCTGTTTCTGTAATGGCCATGCAGACCACTGTGTGCCCATCAAAGGATTCAGGCCCATTAAAGCAGCAGGGGTCTTCCATGCGGTAAGTTGATGTTGCATTACCTTTGCAAAATAAAATTTAAAAAGAATTTCAGACAGACAGATCAGACTTTTACAAATTAGTAGCCACCAAAGTCTTCCAAAGGCAAGTTTTTTCCACCTAAGTTATCTTAAAAGTATGTTCCAGAAAAAATGAAAGTCTATGAAATGAATCTTTGTAAGTAGCACCTAGCAAATGTGCCTGTCTAAATTGGGCAAGATGGCATTACTGTCTCAATGACATTCATTTTGATTTAGGTGGCCAGTATCTTCATTTTTGAACATATGTTATACTTAGTGTTATCATAGAGCCGCGGTAGTGCAGCGGATAAATCTGCTAAGCTGCAGAGCTTGTTGACTGGAAGGTCAGCGGTTCAAATCTGTGAGACGAGCTCCTACTGTTAGCCCCAGCTTCTGTCAAAAACATGCAAATATGAGTAAATCAATAGGTACTGCTCTGGTGGGAAGATAACGGCGCTCAATGTAGTCATGGAGCCACATGACCTAGGAGGTGTCTCTTTGGCTTAGAAACGAAGATGAGCACCACCCCCCAGAGTTGGACATGATTAGACTTAATGTGAAATGGAAACCTTTACCTTTACTTTTTACACAGTGTTAAGTCAAACTAAAAGTTTAATATATCAATAGGAGACTTTGATTACTCACATCAGCTTCCAAGAACTATGATTCATAGGCTGGTTTCCATGAATATTTCATGATAAATGTATGTGCAGCAACCATAGCAATCTTCACAAAAACACAAAACCTGACATAAACTCTGCAAAAGGAAACAAGTGAAGGATTCAACAGAGGAAGACCTGTAGTTGTTCTGCTTTGCAGCTGCTATGAGAAGGGTTAAGTTCCAATGGATCCTCCAGACTAACTATTCTCTCGGCTTGATCTACCTTACAGGCTTGTTGCAAAGATAACATAGGAAGCAGAGACACATATACCATTTTGACTAATTAAAAGGATGGCAAATGTCAAAATAAATAAAATAAAATAAGAGCCACAAATGGTCCTAAAAGAGAGGCCTGGAAATGGATTTCCAGATGCCAAGTATCATCCTTTTTTACCACTCAGTTCTGGAAAGGTGTGGATGGCTTCAGTATGTATTTATATTCAATTTTCTTAAGAGTAACTTCGAAGCTCTGATTCCAGATGGCAGTGGTGTGGTATTAGCTAGAGAAAAGATATAAATAGCAACACTTGTAAATTGCTTTGGATCCAGATTATATGCAGCACATGTGTTTATGTCTATTATGAAGGGGAATTTACAACCAGTGGCCACTTGGAACAAGGAAGCAGCAGGAAGGAAAAGAGATTAATGCCTTCTGTTCACTTCCTCTTGGTCATTTCTGCACTCCCATTTACCTATAGTAAATGTAACTTTTCCTTTTCTATGTAGGCTGCTGGGTTACCATTACATTTATTTGCATGTAAAATAGGAATTTTTTTAAGTGTTGGTGATTAGTAAAAAAAATAAAAATATAAAAATGGATATATTAATTTAAAGTTCAGGCCAAAATTGCTTTAGGGTAAATAATTACAACCATTCCTATTTTGCGTAAAAATATGTTTTAAATATTATAATATAATATAACTTTATTTATATTCTGCTCTATCTTCCCAAAGGGACTCAGGGCGGATTTTTGCAGTTTTTGCACTTAAAATGCACATTAGAATAGAAATAGGAAGAGTGGACATATGGACAAAAACGTGAAAATGATACATTCTTCTGGTGGCTCTCTTAAGGGCAAGGCATGGAGCCTTCGTCTCGCCTCGCCAGCTGGCAGGGCAATCACATGGAGGAAAATGAGGAGTGTGCACGCGGCTTCCCCCCATGGAGCTGGTAGTACAGAAGGCTTCCCATGTTGCCAGATCCCCCATGGGGGGGGGAGCCGTGCACATTACGTGCACTCCTCGCTTCCCTCCATGTGATAGACCTGCTGGCCAGCAAGGCAAGACAAGGGCTCCATGTCTCACTCTGAAGAAGAGTGCCCCCGCCGGCTGCCACCAGCCATATGATGAGTTCATAAGATATTATGGTAATCTAATGTGCATCATAATTTTGGTGAGGCAATTTAGCCAAAAATTGTGATCATTAGATTTGAGTAAATTCAAAAATAGAAAACTCTACAATCCCAATAAACCAGGCATGGGCAAACATTCTAACTTGGAGACCACATGTTAGCACTCCCTGCTAAGAGGACTGCCTTCCTGGTGATGGAAGGAAGGAAGGGAAGGAAGAAGGAAAGAGAGAAGGAAGGAAAGACAAAAGGAAAGGAAGGAAGCATGCAAGGGTAGAAGGGAAGGATGGAAAGAAGGAAGGAAAATGAAGGAAAGAAGGGAGAGCAGAAGGGAAAGATGGAAGGGAAGGGAGGGAGGGAGGGAGGAAGGAAGGAGAAAGAAAGAGGGAGATGGTGGAAAGAGGGAATGAAGAAAGGACGAAATGGTGGAAGGAAAGGATGGAAGGAGAAAGAGGGATGAAAGGGAGAGAGGTAAGGAGGAAGGAAAGATAAAAGGGAGGGAAGGATGAAAGGGTAGAAAGATAGGATGCAAGGGTGGAAAGAAGAGGAGGAGGAAGGAAGGAAAAACCCAAGGGGGGGGGAGAAAGGAGGGAGATAGGAAAGGAAGGAGGGAGGGAGCGAGGAAGAGAAGGGAGGGAAGGTGGAAGGAAAAAAGGAAAGAAGGAAGGATGGATGAAAGGGTTGAAGGGAAGGAGAAAAAGGAAGGGAAGGAGACAGGAAAGAGAGAAGGAAGGAAAGATAGGATGGTGAGAGAGAGGAAGGTCTGAGAAAAGAGACCAAGAAGCCGCATCTGGCCCCCAGGTCTGGGTTTCCCCATACCTAGAATAAAATATGGACAATATGAGATTCATATATATAGAATTGACGCAGCTTGAGACCATTTTAACTGCAATGCCTCAATGTGATGGAATCTTGGCAATTGTAGTTTGATGGAGCATTCACACTCTTTGGCAAAGAAGGCTAAGAACCTTGTAAAACTACAATTCCCATGATTCCATAGCGCCGAGCCATTTCAGTTAATGTGGTGTCAAATTGTATAAATTCAATTGTGTAGATGCACCCTGAATCTCATATTGTCGATCTTTTATTTAGATTGTTGAGTTTTCTATTTTCTCAGCATGCATTCCTATAATGTTTACTAAGCTAAAGCTATGAGTGTAATATAATGTTTAAAACATCCATCAGTATACACAGTAATTAAAAGGGGGTTCCAGGCAAACTAGCCGACTAGTAGCTAGTTAAGTATGTACATGCAAGAACAAAAGCCATGAAATATTTCCTAAAATATAGACAGTTTGAAAAGAAGCAATTGAATATATTAATTCTTGAAGCAAGAGGCAGTGGAAGGAAACATGCCCTAGCAACTGTCTTCATGTGTGAAAATCTGGCTCTCATTCAGCTTACACAAGTCAACTTTTGTCACAGTGTTTGCCTTGTATAGCATATTGAGTGATGTTACCAGTGAGCTGTCAAGTGAAGAAGGAAAGCAGTCTGAGAGGAAAGTAAAATGGGAAGACCTAATGACAGAATGAAAAATAGTGTGGGGCAAACTAATTCTGAGCAAATGAACTCCCTTGTGTCAGTTCCTAAAACAAAACATCCTGGAAAAAGCTTGCCTCTTTAGGAATGCCTCATAAAGATTCAAAACAGCAATGTTTTAGTAGTATGACAGTAAATGGAAACTGCTGGAAAATGTCTCCACTATAGTTCATAGCTGTTAACAAGTCCAACCAGGAGCAGACAAATAACAGTTCAAGTGCAGAATTATACCCTAATATAACAATGATTACTTTTCATTAATTCTACTTCAGTTTCTTTTACTTTTTGTTTTCAAAAGTTGAGGTCTTATTGTTTATAGCTGGTTGACCTGAACTGTAAACCTTGACAGTCTGTCTGGGGCCCCATCTACACTGCCATTACAAGGCAGATTGAATTGGATTATATGGCAATCTAAATTCATATGATACAGTCAATGCAGTTCAATCTATATTATATGGCCTGACTGTGCAGTGACTCTGACAGCAATATAAGGCTTTCAATAATAATATACAATTGCCAGGTATTTATTTATCTTACAGCCTTTAAAATTAAAAGTGGTTTTGTCATTACTTCTGTAGAATAGGAAAGTAGTTCTAAATAAATTATAATAATTTTGGTGCTTGGAGTTAAAAATAATCATTTACAAAACATCTAAAACATGCCCCCAAAATAGGTAATATTTACAGGATGTAGTGGGCATTTCCATATCTTTGGATTGCTCCTGCATCTCCCCCGATCACAAAACAACATTTTGGAAAACTGGGTTGCTGTGAGTTTTCTGGGCTGTATGGCCATGTTCCAGAAGCATTCTCTCCTGACATTTCACCCACTTCTATGGCAGGCAACCTCAGAGGTTGTGATGTCTGTTGGAAACTAGGCAAGTAAGGTTTATATATCTGTGGAATGTCCAGGGTGGGAGAAGAACTCTTGCCTGTTGGAGGCAAGTGTGAATGTTGCAATTGGCCACGTTGATTAGCACTGAATGGCCTTTCAGCTTCAAAGCCTGGATGCTTGCTGCCTGGGGAAATCCTTTGCTGGTGTGTGTGTGTTTATGGGTTGCCTTAAAATGTCCCAAAATGCTCCCTAGAAGCCCAGAAAGACCCAAAACGTGTCCCATATGACCCCTTCCCCCGTCTTTCGCAGTTACATGCCCCTGGTTTAGACTCTTAACTGCAAAGCTAACTAACTTAAACCTGTACAGAAGTTAGGAATTGATAAAGAAAGAAATAACTGTAGCCAATAGGAACAATATGATGCATGTTTATATGTCCTAGCATAATTTATGCTTCAATCCTGTTTCCATGTACCTGAGAGAAATCCCACAATGACACCAATAGAACCTGTTATATACTAGACATTTAGGATTGTTCTGCTACTGATTCAGTTAGTTCCAGAGAGTTTGCAAAGAGGCACAATACCCAGCATTGTAAAGCTAGCAAGCATCAAGTGGAAATGTATCTGCCAAATCCCCATGGATCCATTTATACAGTGTAACACAAGCAGAAGAGAGGGTGTTGACAAATAGCTTCAAGTAACTGAGACAACCCAGATGTTATAGGGGAAGTCGAAATGTCCCAGGGATCACTGCCCATTCTGATATGAAGGAAGTTTCTTCTGGATGTAAATACTGTATAGTGTCAGAGATAGATATGATATATCATAATAATGTCATCTGGACAAACAAATTTACTGTTTCTTTAAAAAGTAGAAAGAGGGGAAAGAAGCATTCAGAAAGTATTTGTGAGCAGCAGCCCAGTTATAACTTCATCAAGAGTCTTTCTATTTTTCCCACCCCCCTCTGTTATGATTTATCTTGGCTTTCAGATTACTCATATTTTCTTGATAAGAGTGGTTTTCCCTGGAGTTCAAGTTCAGATTAAGAAGTTCATGCTTCACTAAGTTTATTTTTTTGCTATATAAGCCTTACCACAAGGAACATGCTATCGCATCCACACCYGTCTCCCTGGCTCCAACATATTCCAGCAAGAAAATATATTAATCTATWSTAKTMAAATGTWTWWGTAATTATACTTCAGAAGACATGGGGAAGAAGTTTTCCAAAATTAATCATTGCTGTAAGCCAGGGGTCCTTCCCAGACTGTTGGGGGGGGGGGGGACGGACGGACGGACGGACTATAGTTTGAAAAAAACCTAACGAATTCCTATGCACACTGCACACATCTTATTTGTAGTGAAAAAAAATCATGAAAGAACAATACAATATTTAAAATTAAGAACAATTTTAACCAACATAAACTTACCAGTATTGCAATGGGAAGTATGGGCCTGATTTTGGCTGATGAGATAGTCAAGTTAATTAGGATTATTGTTGTTTTGTTATTTCAAGACTTAGTATTGTCCAGACTCAGGACAATACTAAGTATAAAGTTTAGGGCATGGGGCAGGTAAATGGTCTAGCAAGATTTAATCCAGGCCACGGGCCTTCGTTTGGGGGCACCTACTATAAGCCATATTCCCCTGCCATGGAGAAACAAACTAGTGGTACAATGGGTTAAACCGTTGAGCTGTATCTGCTGACCTAAAGGTTGGCAGCAGGTTGGGAGAGCTCCCGCTGTTAGCTGGTGGTGAACAGGAACATTAATTTATTAAAGCTATATATATCCTACTTCTTAGTGGTATCCAGAAAGGGCTAAACCTAAGAATAGCTACACATATGAAATATACAGCAACTTAAAATGAAAAACTGTGCCAAGGTTGTTTATTTATAGAAAGAAGTGAACAGTGGTTACTTGTTTATAGTGAGCTAGACAAACTTCTTTCAAGAATATTTTCTAATGTTAAATGACAAAATACTGTTGCAAAGATGCATCCAGTATTATATATCAGAATTGCAACTACCTTGAGGAAGATATTTGCTCAGCTGTGAAAGGTTCTTTGTAGAGCCCATGCAGCAAAAAATATATATGCTACAACTATTACTCTCAATTCAAAAAGGAATACTTGTACACTCGCTGTGAAAACTGCAGGAGCTTTCTCACACCCAGTTTCCTATGTGGATTCCTAGTCTTCTTTGAAAGAATATATCCTTAGCACATATAGTCTGAATCATTTGTGTAGCAGGTATATTTGCATGTTTATTTGCTTAGTTTGTTTTCCGCTGTTAGGTCCATGGAAGGTGCATGTGCAAACACAACACTGCAGGGACCCACTGTCAGCACTGCGCTCCTCTCTACAATGACCAGCCTTGGCAAGCTGCAAATGGCAAGACAGGAGCCCCAAATGAATGCAGATGTAAGTAGCAAATTAAAATTCATACAATTTCTCTTCTATCCCTGTTTGTATATTTCCAAAAATCCAAGTGATTCCATCGATATTACATTTAAACACTAGCATTCACAAAAATGTTAATGTGCATTTCACTAAAAGGGAAGCTATTTGTTTGGCATAATTTTGGAATCCAGGATGGGTTATTCATATTGACATAAGATACCTAAATAATTATACCGGACATTAAAACACTTAGTATTTCCCACATTCCAAAAATGGGAAAATGTGTTATAAATAAATAGCATGGCAAGAAGTCTTACTGAAATTTAATTAATATATACTTTGTAAGATATAGCAACGTCATACCCTTTCAGTTAATTTAAGTAAAAATAGCAATGAGCACATTTTAGAGACATCTTCAGTCTAGCAATACATTCGATTTCATAATTTACAGTAATTTTCATGGGTAGTTTCCTCTCTTCCCCCAGCATTATTTTGTAAACAGCAGCAAGTTTAATGTATCATTTAAAAAAATCTTGGCTATGTTTCAGCCTGTAAGTGCAATGGGCATTCTGACACTTGCCACTTTGACATGGACACCTGGCTGGCATCAGGAAACCATAGCGGTGGAGTCTGTGATAATTGTCAACACAATACCGAAGGACAACATTGTCAGCGTTGCAAACCAGGCTACTACCGAGACCTCCGAAGACCATTTTCTGCTCCAGATGCCTGTAAATGTAAGACAACATCAATATGCATTCTTCTTATGTCCTAGCAGGCAGTATGAAGTTTCTCATCGTCCCATCTGTAAATAGATGGACAAGTCCAATATCTCATTAGTCAACAGCCATCCATTGTATCCTACACGATTTATGTGTACACATGTGAATGAAAGACAGGAAAGCTTCACCCAAGGACCCCTTTATTAAAAGCTTAAGTTAGTTACAGATTCTCTGAATGGCCTTGTAAGCATGCCTATCTCAGGGTCCGTTCATCCAAGAAACACAAATCTTCCCAATTATATCTATGTAAGGACTCTTTGGAAGCACATACTCAGCTAAGCTTAACTAAGTTGTTGAAGGCTTTTATGGCCAGAATCACTGGGTTGTTGTGAATTTTCCGGGCTATATGGCCATGTTCCAGAAGCATTCTCTCCCCACAACCTCTGAGGATGCCTGCCATAGATGCAGGCGAAAGGTCAGGAGAGAATGCTTCTGGAACATGGGCATATAGCCCAGAAAATTCACAACAACCCACTTAAAAAGGCTACTTGCCTGGACTAAATCCCCAAATCCATGCTAAGTGAGAGATTCTGGGGTTTAAATCCAAAAAATAAGCAAAGGAGAGGGCTGTTTCTGAGAATCCAAGTGGTGAGGAGAGAGCAGGCATGTGTGGTGCATGGCAGTGTGGTGTGCATGTGCGGGCGAGGGGGAGTGTGCAAGGCTGGAGGGAGGCTCGTACCAGTGATTCCATTCAAGGCATGGTGGTTCTGTGATGGAAGTTTGGCCCAATTCTGTCATTGGTGGGGTTCAGAATGCTCTTTTATTGTAGGTGAACTATAAATCCCAGAAATGAGAACTCCCAAATATCATGGTCTATTTTCCAGAAACTCCGCCAGTGTTCACATTTGGGCTTACTGAATATTCATGCCAAGTTTGGTCCAAATCTATCATTGTTTGAATCCACAGTGCTCTCTGGAGGTAGATGAACTACAGCTCCAAAACTTGAGTCAATGCCCACCAAACCCTTCCAGTATTTTCTGTTGGTCATGGGAGTTCTGTGTGCCAAGTTTGGTTCAATTCCATCGTTGGTGAAGCTCAGAATGATCTTTGATTGGAGGTTAACTATAAATCCGAAAAACTACAACTCCCAAATGAAAAAAATCAATTCCCCCACCCAACCTCACCAGTATTCAACTTTGGGCGTATCAAGTATTTCTGCCCAATTTGGTCCAGTGAATGAAACTGCATCCTACATATCAGATATTTACATTTCGCTACATAACAGTAGCAAAATTACAGTTATGAAGTAGCAATAAAAATAATTTTATAGTTGGGGGTCACCACAACAGCAGGAACTGTATTAAGGGGTCGTGGCATTAGGAAAGTTGAGAAACACTGATGTAGATGATAAAAACATTTCCTCACAACAGGGACACATCCTGAAAGTGTTCCTTTCAGACTTTTTTCTTTTTGATCCATTCAATGGTACTATTTCGGCAAGAGCTATGGATTCAAAGGAAATACTTTTCAGCTGTTGCCTGTAACCAAGTCATCATGAGCTTCATTTCTGGGCAGCTCTCCCAGTTTCATCTTCAGCTGCTATCATCTGTATAAAGTCGGCATGAATGGAGTCAGAGTGACACATGATAGAGCCAACAGAGGAGACAGATATTTCCTGCATGAAATTGTTCTGTTAGAGATGCTTTTCCCCACTTGGATAAAGTGCAAGGAGCCTTTTGGATAGCTCCAAGTGAACAGAAAGCTTTGAGCAGACAGATCACAGTCTCAATTGGGAAATAGTAGCCCTTGTGTCATATTTTGTTTATGTTGATAACAACCTGTCTGATAACCTCTTTTTCATAGATAGCAGAGAATGGAACTCTGAAGCTATTACCAGTTCAGGTCAAGACTTTTGCTCCATCACTGGGAAACAACTAAAATGAAAAAGCTGCAAGGTCAAAACAAATGAAAGGGCTGTTAAACTAATCCTTAGCCACACTAAGCATAATCATTAGTAAGCAGTGTGTAATATTTGTTCAGGAGTCAGTATTTACTTGATAAAGCAAGTCGTACCCTTATTTAGTATAGTAAACACTGGCAGAATGCTTGAAGGTTACACAGATTGTTCCCCTCTCTCCTATTTTAACTACCCATATGAGTATTTAAGATGTTGCTGCAAAGTAATCTGAGATTTTTAAAAAGGTGAATGGCCTTTTATAGTTATTAAATTTTAAGCAATTTTAAGCAATTTTCCCTCCAAGCAAAGTAATCCTTTGGGTCTATGTTAATTTTACAGTGTGCTCCTGTCACCCGATTGGATCCGCTGTGCTTCCCTTTAGCAATAGCACCTTCTGTGATCCCAGTAATGGTGATTGTCCTTGCAAACCTGGAGTGGCTGGTCCTCAATGCGATAGATGCATGGTAGGATACTGGGGTTTCGGAGACTATGGCTGCCAACCATGTGATTGTGCAGGAAGCTGTGACTCATTGAATGGTGACTGCATCAGTAGGTGAGTGATCAGACATTGCTACATGTGATCAGGCACCATTTGCCCAAGAAATATCTGTTTGAAATAGAAATGATAAAAATTACAGAAATCTCAGAACATATCCTTAAAAAGCTGGGCTTTTTTTCACAACCATAACTCATGCTCATTACTTATGTTTTTTACTTTCTGGACAATGGAGCCCCCAGTGGTGCAATGGGTTAAACCTTGTGCCGACAGGACTGCTGACCAAAGGGTTGGAAGTTCGAATCTGGGGAGCGGAGTGAGCTCCCATCTGTCAGCTCCAGCTTTTCATGCGGGGACATGAGAGAAGCCTCCCACAGGATGGTAAAACATCCAGGCGTCCCCTGGGCTACGTCCTTGCAGACAGCCAATTCTCTCACATCAGAAGCCACTTGCAGTTTCTCAAGTCGCTCCTGACACGACTTGAGAAACTGTATGTTTCTCCCAGTCAACACAACATGTCTCAATTGGGAGAAACAATTACCTTTTATCTGTTGTTTGCCTTGAAGCCATTAAGGCTTGAAAATCAGTTGGATTGTGTCAGATTTCACCTGAAATTACTGAAAATTAGATGGGCAAGTGATTTCCATAATTTTGAAACTTTGAAAGTATTGGTTGTGATGATGATGCATGATTCAGATCTAGAAATAACACTTCTTCTAAGAGAGGAGATGTAAGAGTAGCCACTTAAAATAGTATTGAAAACATTGAGAAAGGAAACACAAGCCATATTATTTTGTTGGCTCTAGATATATCAAAATCACTCTAACAAAATTTAAGTTATGAATGGAGTCCTTACTAACTTAGTGTCTTGGCGATAGATTGATAGTTGACTGTGGAGCCCTATACTTAACCTGCATGTTCTTTCACAGTGAGGGCATGGGTTTCCAGGCAGAAGGCAGTCTCAGTCAGGGTTGGCTTCATGTGCCTTCCTCTTGGAATGGGGCGAATACCCCCACTGAATGGGGTATCAGTTTAGAAGTCATCGGTTCAGATAAATTTTAAGCAAAAATGAAGCTCTGATATTCCTAAGCTGTTTCTACACATTCAGTGATTTTAGCTGCATTTCTTTAAATCTGTAGATTTGTGATTTGAAACATTTTACATTAAAATATTTCTGGAACAATTCAAAGATTATTGCTTGTTGGGTCATTACTGCCCACTTATAGCTTCTTGGTCTGTTAGATATAGTCCAAAATTCTGGAGCTTTCATTCTGAGAGTAAGTATTGTGAGAGACTGAAGAACATCTTGGTTTGGCTGCAAAGACAATGGAGATAGAAAATCCAATATTTATATGGCAGAAATCTCACTCACTTCAGAATCAAGTCAAGCTGTAATCCCTGAGATGCCAAAGAAGAACAAACCATATAAAGGTCGACACAGAATGCTGAATTCTATGCCTTGCCAAACTATACATAGAATTTTTTATAGATACTGTGCATTCTACAACACATAGACTTTAATTGTGTATATATCTTAAATGTTTCCATAACAAATGTACTACTAAGCATAAACTACAGGCATTTAGGTATCAAATTATATATATATATATATATATGAGAATTACGATTTCTTTTTTTGTATGTTTCTTAATAAAATAATTTACTGGGAATGAAGTTTTTTTTAAGTATTGTCAACATGAATCCAGTTAGAATTAGGTGAACTTTAATAAAGTTGGACTGTGTTGGAAATAGCAACCTTCTACAAGCCTCCTCCACTAGTTATTTGTTACGTATATAATTCAGATTGCTTACTGTATTATATATTAGTATGCAGTTTTCCTTAACTATATGTTGTGGGAAGGACTACAGACCATGTGACCAGATCTGGGACTATTCAGGACTCAGACTCCTTTTTTGTAAAGCAGAAGCCATTAGACTTTCAATGTAGAAACAGTATGCTTTTAGACTCCATTGGACTTTCAGACTAGACAGAGACTCTATTAGACTCTCAGAACAGAGAGATTATTTAGATTATGGGCTGTTGATAACAAGAAAGATGCCCTATGTTATCTGCACAGAGAATCTGCTTCAAATCCTATCTGTAACTGGATTAATATGCAAAGTACCTGTATGCTGAATACATGAAGTTTGTGAGTAAAGCAACTATGTTATTTCATCAAAGACTACTTTATTTTTTGTCTCTTGAGAGCATGATTTAAAGGCAAGTAGATTTTTTGGGGGCAACTGAAATAACACTTCTGAAACTCTGCTATGCTTTTGGGCATTGACATATCTGTCCCTAACAGTTCAAAAAGATATCTAGGTATATCAGTTTATCAGCTGAGAAACCTAGCTGCCTTGCATGAATGCTAATGGATGTCTACCATTAAGGAGAAGGTTTCCTCAAGCGCGTTTTTAACGCTTCTCAGGGAGATTCCATTCCCAAAAGGTTGTGGTGAATGCCATTTTCCAAAAAGTTACGGCATCATTTCCCCAAAAAGTTATGATTTCTAACAAGGTCATGCCTTTCCAAAGATCATACTTCTTCCAATCTGGAAATGGATACACAATGTACATAGACTCTATATGAATAAACTCAAACACTTTATCTTTTCAGTCTTTTAATGGCCTTTTCCATAGACTGTGATCATAGACACAGGGACAAAGGAGAACCAATTGTTTCAGCAACTCCAGTGGGACCATTGCCTAGTGCAAGAATTCAACTCAGGGCAAATGGTGATGCTTCAGATTTTTGATATTGTGTGCAAAGTTGTCTTTTTTGTTGGGTTTTTTTTTTGTTAGATCCATCAAAGAATTATAGATAAAAAGGCGGAAAATAGACCACAACATAGATGGATTGCCTCAGTCAATGAAGACACGGCCTTGGGTTTCCAGGGCTAGGAGGAACAGGATATCTTGAAGGTCTCTCTATCACAAAGTCACTGCAATGCGAAGCCAACTTGACAGCCGTTAACAGTAACACAATAGCTTTGCTGACAGCATATTTCCATATTTTGGAAACATGAATGCCAACACAATCTGCTGGATTTTTTTTCCTATCTGCTTCTAATTTCCTAAGTGTTGCTGAAGCAACCTGTAGGAATATGCTTAACTTATTTTATGCCTGAGCATGTCACAATGTTTCTTTTTTTATTACAGCAGTGCAGCCATAGACTGGCACCATGAAATCCCTGGTTTCCATTCTACAAATAACAAGAGTGAACCTACATGGGGATGGGAGGATGAACAAGGATATTCTGCTCTTCGGCATTCAGGTGAAAACATGAGCTCAAGATATAAGTAATTTTTTAAAAACTTAATATAAATTTGAGACACAAAAATAAAGGCAAGAAAATAAAATGCACTGAGACCAATCTACAAATATATTATCTTTGTTGTTGTTGTGTGCCTTCAAGTAGTTTCTGACTTTGAGACACAAAGGCATAACAGTTTCTGGCCAAGATTTGTTCAGGTGGGGTTTGGCTTTGTCTTCCTTTGAGGCTGAGAGAGTGTTTTCAGTCATAAGAAAAAGAAAGAAATAGCAGAGGAAAATCACAGGAGAGTTATAAACAAAATCCCAATGCAATTCCATGGATGAACCATGATGATTTCACAATAAATGAACTATCTTTAAAAAACAGTAATTCAGGAGTTTGTAGATTCATTTTAAAATGCGGCATTTATTACACATATTTCTTTTTAAAATAAGGAACATAAGAACATAATGAACGAACTGCTGGAAATGAAATAATTATTGTTAGAAAAGTTCAATGGAATGGGTTGTTGTAGGTTTTTTGGGCTATATGGCCATGTTCTAGAAGCATTCTCTCCTGATGTGACCTCACAACCTCTGAAGATACCTGCCATAAATTCAGACAAAAAGTCAGGAGAGAATGCTTCTAGAACATGGCCATATAGCCCGAAAAACCTACAACAACCCAGTGATTCCGGCCATGAAAACCTTCGACAATACATTCAATGGAATGGTTGTTCTGAGAGAAAGCAGGCCAACCTTACCATTAGACCAGAAAAGATATATGAAGGTGATGCGGAGAGATGCTGTGTCCCTACAATTTCTTCTGATCCCACAAGCCACTCTACTATACTGAAAACAAAATTCTCTGTCATATGGCCTACCCTGTCTCTTCTCACCCAGCCTAGTCCTTCCAGTGCAATGGAGGACGTGGTCCTTTTGCCCAATATTAAGTTCAATTGCTATTTTAATTGGCTTCTTCTTATAGAGTTAGGGGTTGCAGTGGTGCAGCAGGTTAAACCACTGAGCTGAGGAACTTGCTGACCAAAAGATCAGCGGTTCAAATCCGTGGAGCAGGGTGAGCTCCCATTGTTAGTCGTAGCTTTTGCCAACCTAGCCGTTCAAAAACATGCAAATGTGAGTAGATCAATAGATACCGCACTGGCAGGAAGGTAACGGTTCTCCATGTAGACATGCTATCACATGACCTAGGAGATGTCTATGGACAACACCGGCTCTTTGGCTTACAAATAGAGATGAGCACCACCCCCCAGAGTCAGACTCAACTAGACTTAATGTCAAGGGGAAACCTACCTGTAGAGTTAGGAGATGGGCAACTTTATTCTTCACCTGAGATAGCAAAATGTCCTGGGACATCTCAAATAAAAAGCTGCTTTTGTATTTCCATAGGAAAATGTGAATGCAAAGAACAGATTTTACGAAATTCCAAGATCTTTTGTAACATGAAATATACATATGGTGAGTAGAAATATATGTATAATGTTATTCAACTGACCTAACACTGCTGATTTGTTCTATGGATTGTTCTAAACTCAGATTGGTAGTAGGATGGAACTTGTGGAAATATGGTGGAACTTCTCAAGTGATTGTGTTCCATGTGGCCAAATTAGAAAGTTGTCATCAAGAAACCACAGATAGAAGAGAGGTCTTTGGATACAATGACCACTTAAGCATTATTCCAGGTCAGCCATAAATGTGTTTGCATCCTTTGGTTTGCTCTGTAAGTGTCTACTGTAATACCATTGGCTTGGAGATCCATATCGTACCCAAAAGTGAAATTGTTATGAGTAAGTACAAAATAATAGCAGAGTTTGGTGGCTAGGTCTGTTGTTGCTCCATTCAGGATAGTATTCTTGATGACCCCTAGTCCATCCTAGTGTGGGATTTTGGTGTATAGGGATTCCACATCCATAGCGGCTACTATGGTATTTTCTGGGATTTTCTTCAGGAAATCAGTTGTTTTCTTCAATTTAGAGGTTTGATCACATATGGACTAAAAACCATCCCAACAATCAGGGCTCTGACAGTGGGTCTTCTGGATGACCTTGTCTATGTATTGTGAGTAGTAAATAGAAGCTGTCCATTTGAATTGAGTTTTGTACATCAGTAGAGAATACTCTGAATAATATGTGCAGTTCCTTCAGATAGTTGTAAGTGTTGTTTTTAAAGAGAACCCTGTAAAATGTGGTGTTGGAAACCTCCTCTATGCATGATAATCAATCTCATAGGGTGTCACTCTACCTGTTACAATTAAAGCCCTGCTTCAACTTCCATCAAAATATTTTGCACAAACAGCAGATGAAGTGGTGGACCTCCACAAATATATCACTAAATAGTTTGTGCACAATTTGCATATGTTGACTTTTATGCATCCTGTGGGCTGGATCTTCCTGTTTCCAGCTTATTTCAGAGGGGTGGATATATTTTTGGCGGTTTGAATCTGGGGAGCAGGGTGAGCTCCTGCTGTTAGACCCAGCTCCTGCCAACCTAGCAGTTCGAAAACATGCAAATATGAGTAGATCAATAGGTACCGCTTCTGCAGGAACGTAACAGTGCTCCATGCAGTCATGCTGGCCACATGGCCTTGGAGGTGTCTACGGACAACACCGGCTCTTTGGCTTAGAAATGGAGATGAGCACCACCATCCCTGAGTCTGACACAACTAGACTTAATGTCAGGGAAAACCTTTACCTTTCTATGTTTATGCATGGTTTCAGGAAGTTTCAGAACATTTTCAGGCAAAAAAGAGAGCTTGAATATTGGCTTGATTAATTTTTTTGAAACTAGAAGGGATTTGAGGTCCAGAGCCAAACACTCACTGCCCCTAGATTGCATGGATGCACACTGGCCGTAGAAATGGCACTCAAAGCCTGTGATCTACATCAGGGACCTTCGTGCACAACATGAACTGCCCTGCATATCACCCTTCTATAATGGGTGTATCCGCTGAAATGATGCACTTTGAGCGAGTGCAATAATACTGTGAATATAGCCCATGGAGATGAAATGGCAGGAAAGGCTTTATCTGTTCATGCCAGGCAGCTGATAAAGACATAGGCAGTCCTATTAGAATCAAGCTGTCAGTTCAAATGAAGATTACATGCAAATTTTTGTCTGGCAGAACGTATCACAAAGGGCGTCTATGATTAATCACAATGAGGCCTTTGTTATGTTCATTCCCTGAGTTTTTCTTGGTGTAAATCAGGGTGGGCAAAGTGCAACCCCATAGCTGCATGTGGCCTCACCTCTATTTTTGCATTTCTCAGCTCCATAAGTTGGCTGGACTGCAAAACAAAACAAAACCCCCCCAAAAAACAAAGTGAGCTGCTTCCCTTGGCAGCCTTCAGGAGCAAAAGTTCACTGTTGAAATAGGTTGCAGCTCTCTTTTACTGTTTAGCATCAACATTTTTGGGTTGTTGTGAGTTTTCTGGGCAGTATGGCCATGTTTCAGAAGCATTCTCTCCTGAGGTTTTGCCCACAACCATAGAAATCAGCCATAGCAGAGCACCTGATGAACCAACCTGGACACAGCATTTTATTTGAGAACACAAAAATACTGGACTACTCTATCAACTACTATGCCAGACTACACAGAGAAGGCATTGAAATCCACAAGCATGTGGACAATTTCAACAGAATGAAGGAAACCATGAAAATGAACAAAATCTGGCTACCAGTATTTTAAGAACTCTAAAATTGGGACAGTAAATAAAGAACAAAACTAAAAAAAACAGGGGAATTCCAGACAAGAATAAATCAGGGCCAGCTAACACCCCCCTCCCCCGACTATTCAAGCTAATTAAAAAGCTTTCTCTTTTTTTCTCATCTGATTAATAATAATTTCATTGCACATAAGAAGCACTATGTAATGCTGATTTTATTTCGTGATCTTTCAAAACTGTAGCTCACACAATATATCCATTAAAAAACTGAGCAGAACTAATATACCTAAGAAATTCAATACACTGTTTTTCCCTACGTTCTGGGCCAAACCTTGAAAATATTAAAGGAATTTCTGTGACGGCAACTGCATTTATCAGTCAAAAGTAATTCAGATATTAAATGTAGCTTATACATACACTCCCGCATTCTAAACTGCATATACAAACATAAACTTTTTATCTAACCAGTCTAGATATTCAACCCAATATTATTAATTTGGAGTAAATAGCAGATAATTGATTAGTGTGCCCTTTAAACGCAAGGTGCAAAAATATTATTTCAAGCCACCTAAACTCAGTACTTATCAACATTGCTACTTTCAACACCATAAATGGTTTTGGTGCTAGCAAGAAACACTTGAACTTGTAAACATTTCTGAAGGGGTAGTCTTCTGTTGCACCAAAACAAGGGCTCTTGTGCCAACTTTCTGGGTTGTTTGAGTAGATACCTTCCAGATTGTACAAAATTTTTGGTCTTTGCTGGCTTGGAAAAGCAGTGTGGCTTTAATGATGAATTCTACCTATTTCTTTCAAACACACCAATCGTTTCAAAAACAACTGATGTTCTGAATAATTACTGGTACTTTCACATAAGGGGGCTTTCTGTATATATTTCAGATTTCAATATTAATGTCAAAAATACATAGTATGATTTTACATAGGATTTGTGCTACATTAGAACAGTAAAGAAAAATATCACATATCTAAAATAAACATTAAATATTAAATACCCAGAAAAATAAAATAAGGTGTAAACACTAAACTAATCTGGGAATCTGCTATTGCAACACATCCAATGAAGTGGTTTAAAACCAGTATAAATCAAGGCATCTGTCTTTCAGCCAGATGCCTTGATTTAGGCATTCTATCTCTGAGCAGTAATCGATCTGAATGCTAAATCATTGGGGGGGGGGGTCATGTCAGGAGCAACTTGAGATACTACAAGTTGCTTCTGGTGTGAGAGAATGTTGCCCAGGAGACACCCAGATGATTTACCATCCTGTGGGAGGCTTCTCTCATATCCCCACATGAGAAGCTGGAGCCGAGACACAGGAGCTCATCCCACTCCCCGGATTCGAATCGCTGACCTTTTGTTCAGTAGTCCTGTCATCATAGCGCCACTCTGGGCTCCACTAATCATCGGTCAGAATGACGCTTAGGCACTTCATAAGCAGTTTCAGAGTTCAGAACACAATCTGTGAACAGCTGTGTGTTGACAACACTTTCTACAAATCCAGTGATACCACAGTTGCATAGTTACTTGGGATGAACACAACCTTCCTAGGTAATGAGCAGGCTTCTGCATTTATCAGAAACCTCCCTTAGGGGTGATGTTGGAGTTGGAGAGCAGAGAAAAAGATGGTTTTGGATACCATATAACAGTGGTTCTCAACCTGTGGGTCCACGGATGTTTTTGGCCTACAACTTCCAGAAACCACAACCAGTTTACCAGCTGTTAGGGTTTCTGGGAGTTGAAGGCCAAAAACATCTGGAGACCCCAGGTAGAGAACCACTGCCATAAAAAGTCCAAGTCTACCCTTTGGGATAGTGTTAAACAGGAAAAAGAGTTACACAACTTGATTGGAGACAGATGGTTTTAGTTAAAAAGGCTCTCCAGTTGCAGCAAATCCTATTGAGGTGAAGAAACAATGGTTGCTTTTTACTTGACAATATGAAAGCTAGCAATTATCTGGACTTGCATCTAGAACAGGGCATAATGCAAAAGAAACTTGTGAAGGAGAAAACATCTCTCCTCTCCTTTCCCATGTTTTGTCTACTACATGGAATTCTCCCGGTAGATTTTATCTTCCCGTTTGAGTCATGGAGAAATCGCTTTTACATACTTCCCCAATATAATGTGCTTATTGTACTATTTGCATTGTGGTGCCAATTAGAAGCTTCCTTTGAGAACAACTGATAGGCCTCTAACTTGAAAGCCATCCATGCATGACTTCAGTGGCTGGGTGGGGAGCAGGGAGAGAAACCCTCAGGAACATTTTATCCACAAACTTTTAGGACCCAATCTAACTCTGAATAGAGAGATTAGTTCTCCTTGCCAAAATATAAGTATTTAAACTTGTAATGAGATGTGGCAGCCAAGCTACAGAAAAGCACTGTTTTATTCTGTAGATTTCTGCAGACCTGCAAAACGATGAGTAAGCAGTCGTTCCCAGTAACCCCAGTCGGAAGATGCAGCTGTGTTCCTAAAAACCAGGTCACTGAGCATAATACCATGTCTTTGGCAGAGCCTTAACTGGCTCATCAAGTACAAGATCTGGCACAGTTTCTCTTTCACTGAATCACGTTCCGTTCTCCACACCAAATGGAGTGTTTGGAAAGCTTTCTGTGTTGCCTTGTTGGTAAACAAATCGTGGTCATCCCAAAAGTGTAAAAATGGCTTAGGCTGTAGTATGCACACACATGTCTCATACTCAACAGAAATGCATATGGACTTTATTGGAATGAATATATATATATATGTTCTTTCTTCTGAAACTGTCTTGACACAGTGTTGAAAGCAAAGATTTTGTCAGCTCACGATAAAGGCTCCCATGCCGAGGTCAATGTGAAGATCCAGAAAGTACTGAAATCTACAAAACTCAAGATTTTCCGAGGAAAGCGGATTCTTTATCCAGAATCATGGACAAATAGAGGCTGCACTTGCCCAATACTTAATCCTGGTAAGTATTTATTGTAATAAGCACATTTTGATCAGTTGTATACTGACTCTTATTTTGTATTTCATTATTTAGCAGAGGCTGAATAGCCATTTGTCAGGAGTGCTTTGATTATGTGCTCCTGCATGGAAGGACATCGGTCTGGGGTTTTTTTATCACCCCACTCTTTCCAGAGTAGAACCACTGACCTTTCAGTCAACTGTCCTGCCAGCACAAGGGTTTAACCAATTGGGCTACCAGGGGCTCCTGTTGGACTGGATGACCTTGTGATGTCTTCCAATTTTATGATTTATTTCCAGCTCTTATTCAGCCTTTTTTTAAAAAATGCACTTTATGCACAGATCTCCTGTTGTTTGCATTTTGGGATTAAAATAAAACATTATATAGATGCTACAGCAAACTAAACTGCCAATCATGGTTCTCTGTGATTAAGGTAATTTAACGTGATGCCAAAAATGGTTAATTTTAGTTTGTCATTGGACCTGTTACATCATACAGTAATCAGCATGTCTAAATTCTATTACTTTTCAGAATTGCACACGTGCAGAATTCCCCCCCCCCCCCCACTGACTTTAATTTAGACATAATAGATAAAAGCTGATAGCATTATTTAGCAGTGGTTCTCAACCTGTGAGTCTCCAAGTGTTTTGGTCTGCAACTGCCAGAAATCCCAGCCAATTTACCAGCTGTTAGGATTTCTGGGAGTTGAAGGCCAAAACATCTGGGGACCCACAGATTGAGAACCACTGCTTTTAGAGAAATAATAGAAGGTCTCACAGCATCAGTTTTAATTGTCTAGCTAGGGTCCTCAAACTTTTTAAACAGAGGGCAAGGTCACAGTCCCTCAAACTGTTGGAGGGCCAGATTATAGTTTGGAAAAAAATGAAGGAATTCCTGTGCACACTGCACATATCTTATTTGTAGTGCAAAAACATTTTAAAACAATACAATAATTAAAGTGAAGAACTATTTAAACAAATATAAACTTATTAGTATTTCAGTGGGAAGTGTGGGCCTGCTTTTGGCTGATGAGATAGGATTGTTGTTGTTGTGTGCTTTCAAGTCATTTCAGACTTAGGTTGACCCTGAGCAAGGACTGGCTAAATTACCTTGAAGGGCTCTCAGGCTTTAGTTTGAGAACCCCTGGTCTAGTAAAGCAATATATACTACCACTGTAAGAAAGAAAACCCAGACTTAAGCTTCTTAATCCAGCTCTCACTGTGGGTGCAATTTTTTGTATATACACGACTAGTACTGCCTCCACATTCATAATCTGGCACATCCAAGTGTGTGTCTGGGTTTACTTCCCAATCACATTAAAAATATACTCCTAGTAATAATCTGTATATGCAACTGCTTTGTAGCCACAGTTCCAGCAACATATAGGATAATATGCAGCACAGAAGCATTCTAGGAGGAAACAGTGACTTTGAAAAGAGACACAGAATAGCTGCTCTCTTTTTGTGACAGGAATGTTATTTGGCAATTTGTCCATATGCTCCTTAGATGGAGTCTTTGGGTGAAATTGTCATATCATGAAAATCCAAACATTGGCAGAGTCTCTGTTTGGGAGTTGGTCTTGTTGTGGGCAGCGCTGCGGTAAAACATTAGCAAACGTTTGCCTATCTCTGTCTCTCAGCCTAACTTATCTTACTAGAAGTACTCTGGGGATCAAAAGGCAAAATGTAATTATCATTCAGTGTGTCCTCTAGAAAGGGCAGGATACAGATGCAATAAACAATGTAAATATATTTGATAAGGAAACTGCCCTACAAACTTCAAAGCAAGATTTCCAGGAATCCTGGAAAATGTTTATGGGCTTGTACAATGGGATAAAACAACTCATTTAACTTTTATTTTTATACCCACAGATATAACCATTATGTTCATTGAAAGATTCTATCTGTTTGTATCATGAATCAACAATTGCACCCATATAGCGATATTTTGTGATACGTTTAGATTCAAGTACCCTCATATGTTACATTTACAACAATTATGTTGCAATAGTCCATATTTTCCAAACATTAATATTATAAATTGCATTGGCTGGAAAATAGTATAAAATATGCCGTATGTTTATTTCCAGTGTTTTTAAATAATTATCTCCTTCTCTAAACATGCATTCCTTCTTAGGATTATGTATTTATTTTTTACTGTATTTATGTCCCATCCTTCTTACCATGAAGGGGACTCAGGGTAGCTCACAGAAAAGGCATAATTCAATGCTACATATACTTACATAGGATAAAACAACACACGTAACTTAAAATCAATAATTAAAACATCATAATCATAAAACCAATGACTTAAAAACCACGTAATCCAAAGGCATATTCCAGGAGCCAATCCAAACATAAATTGCACTATCCCATAGTCACTTATTGCATTGCAGATTACTGTCCAAAGGTTTGGTCCCACATCCATCTCTTCACTCTCTTTCTGAAGGACAGGAGGAAAGGAGCTGATCTAATTTCACTGGGGAGAGAGTTCCATGGCTGAGGGGCCACCACTGAGAAGGCCGTGTCCCTCATCCCCACCAGTCATATCTTTGATCAATACTGTTTAGGCACTGATCCAATAAATATCTGCTTATTTGTTGTAGGTCTGAAATACCTTGTGGCTGGATATGAAGATGTTCAAGCGGGAAGACTGATAGTCAATATGAAAAGTTTTGTCCAGCAATGGAAACCAGCTTTGGGGAAAAAAATATTGGATATTTTAAAAGACTGTAGCTGAGAGTGCCGAATAAGGCATTTGTCTATACACGAAATGCAAACATGGAGAAAATAAGCTCTCTTAAATGAAAACTGGAATGTAAGGAAATAGTGCCAAATGTGTGTAAAGAGGTACTCCAATTTCCTAGCCTTTCACCCTGATTATAAACACAGTAACCACTATTGCATCATTTATGAAAAAAGAAGAATGAAGCCTCTCCACCAGCCCTGCTTGAATGTAAAGAGGTGTGTAAAAGGTATACCAATCCCAAAAAACAGTGAACACATCCATCCATAGCTGCACTCTTAGATCTTTTTCAATTCTAACAATTTGGAGGAAGAGCAAGACTGTAAACAGAGCTACTCACATGCATCTAATCTCTTTGAATTGGACTGATCTGCTTGAAAGTAAATGACTTCAATACAACAGAACACTTTTTACAATCACCACTTTTACATTATATCTCCATAGTCAATGTGGATTTGGTATCTGGCTTTATCGGTGCTTTCATGGTTCACACTGAAGTTTGTGGAACATCATAAAGTTATTTGAAAGTTTGAAGTTTGTTTTCATGTTCTGCTTTAGAAGAATGAATACATGCTTAAGTGACAGACAAAACAACGATTATGTACTGTATCTGTTTAAATCAGTGTTTCACAACCTTCCTGATGCCTCAGCCCCTTGATACAGTTCTTCATGTTGTGGTGAACCCCAACCATAAAATTATTTTCATTGCTACTTCAAAACTGTAATTTTGCTACTGTTATGAATCGCAATGTAAATACCTGATATGCAAGATGCATTTTCATTCACTGGACCAAATTTGGCACAAATACCCAATACGTCCAAATTTGAATATAGGTGAGGTTGTGTGGGGGATTGTTTTTTTTTTCATTTGGGAGTTGTAGTTTTTGGGATTTATAGTTGGGATTTATAGTATTCTGAGCTCCACCAATGATGGAATTGAACCAAACTTGGCATACAGAATTCCCATGACCAACAGAAAATATTGGAAGGGTTTGGTGGAATTGACCTTGAGTTTTGGAGTTGTAATTCACCTACATCCAGAAAGTACTGTGGACTCAAACAATGATGGATCTGGACCAAACATGGCACAGATACTCAATATGGCCAAATGTGAACACTGGTGGAGTTTGGAGAAAATAGACCTTGACATTTGGAAGTTGTAGTTGCTGGGATTTATAGTTCACCTACAATCAAAGAGCATTTTGAACCCCACCAACGATAGAATTGAGCCAGACTTACCACACAGAACCACCATGACCAACAGAAAATACTATGTTTTCTGATGGTCTTTAGTGACCCCTTGACACCCCCTTGCGACCCCCCCCCCCAGGTCCTGACCTCCAAGTTGAGAAACGCTGGTTTAAATCTTAAGAACCAGTCAATGAAATCTATTGAAATGCTTTTCTTTCACAGTTCTGTATAAAAACAAATAGGAATATGTTGACTAGGTATCCCCTGAAATTTTTGAAGACTATACATGTATGGAAATGTCACACATCTGTAGGAAAGCCCCACTGGATGGTACACAAATTCAGACTACATCCATTCCCATTAAAATGAACTCAATAACATAATGAGCAACTGAATTCAGGGGAAGTCAAGTATCAATAACTTAAAATGGAGCCAACCAATAAGGCTGGTAATTCCAGCATGCCTTTATCCAACAGATTTTTGTGGAACATTATTTAAAAGCAATTCAAGGGATGGTCATTTGTAACACCTAGAACATACCAGAGTCACATTTTGTAGCCTTTGAAACCAATAGTCAAGTTAGACTTTTGGGGGCTATCAGAAATGAAGAGAATTTATACTTTTCTGGATTTTTTAAAAAGGCTGGTTCCATTATATGTAGCTAAAAGTATAAATGGCAATGTCTCCATTATGGGGCATTACATGCATTTAAGTATTTAATTACATAAAGCACTTTATTGTCTGCCCCTTACCAGCCTGAATTTTTTAATGTTCAGAAACAGATTACAGCACAAGACAAAGTATTCTGAAACAGAAGCACTCCAAAACTGTTAGGACAAAACTAGTAGTGTACTTCATACCTCGCAATTGCAGCTCAAAAAAAATCTAGGGATACATTTTGAAAAACTAATGTATTTACATTGAAGCCCCAAATTCTGACTAATAACTTGATTCTATGGATATCAAGTATGATTAGGCTATTGTTGTTTATTTGTTCAGTCACTTCATGACCTCATGATTAGACTATATATTATTACAAAGAGAAATCTTTTAACAAGAATAATAAAACATCTGCTTATTGCAATGCGATAGACTTCAAAAGTCATGATGGTCTTGGCCTTTGTTTATAGTATCTAATTTTGGAGAATAAGTTCAAGTTTTCTTATATATACAATCAATACAATCTGGAGTCTCTACCTGGTTCTGCCCATAATTTACCAAGAATGAATTCACTTCCATTATTAGATTATAAAGATCTCTGGTAACAGATCTTTCAACCAGCACCAAAATGGTTCTACATGCCTACATAAATACACATAAACTAAAACACTTATCCACATATGTATGTTTGTGCATGAAAGGTAAAAGAAGAGTTAAAATGCCATTTAAAAACAAAACACCACACTGGGTCATGTCTATATTTTCTATTGTGGTCCTGTGGATTCACATAAATGATGCTGTTTTGAAATTTTGCTTTTGTATCTAATGTATATAATAAATATATGATTTCAAGAAATGTGTACTGCAGACTTATATTGTACAGTATTTTCTTTAGTGCTAAAATCTAAAGTGACAGTAGGTTACTATTAGATACTATAAGTATCCCTAGCAAGACTGACTTTGAGGAGCTCAGTTAAAGCCATTGATGGAAATCAATTACAGGCAAACATTTGGAAGAAGGTAGATTTTATTTGAGTCCTCTGAAAAAGCATCTTGGAATGACTGATTTAGCTACTGTAAGTGACATTAGTTGCAAAATCAAGTGTTCTTGGAAAATCACATTCCTGGAACAAAATAGGTACTGTGAAAAAGGATTTCCTATGTTCAGAATGTATGCCAAGATAAGCTTTCCATACCACATGTGCTGTTGACAAACCTTGTTCACAACTGGGATTTGTGACTGGATCAAGGTCATCCATTAACTTTCAAAGCTGAGTGGGTATTTGAAGCTGTGTGTCCCCAGTCTCAGTTTGGCACTCTGTCCACACCCCACACTAACTCTCATTTGAACTAGAGCCGGATATATGGAGACAGAACCAGCCCAATCCTAAAATTGTTGTGGCAGTTTGTGGTGTTGGAGTTACATTGCACAAAGGTCCTAAGCAGACAGCCCTGCTCTTTGTTGAATACTGAAAATTCTGTTGTTGATGGAAAGAAATGACCAAGAAGGTTTTGTCAGAGAACAATGAGGTTTTGCAGCTTGGATTTGCTAAGATAAAATGTTATTCCATTCCCCACAAACCCTTTTATAAAACACAGTTATTGCATTATTATTCCTCTTTCACTGCCATGGTTCCATCCTATAGAATCCTGGAGTTTGTAGTTTGGTGAGAGACTAGAAAACTCTGGATGAAAAGTCTAAGGGCCCCTCCTTATCCTGCAAATCCTAGGATTCCACAGATGGAACCATGGCTGCTAAAGTGCAACAATAGTGCTATCATTCGGTAATGTAAAAAAGCCCTTTGGAAAATTTCTTGTCCAGCATCACCCAAAAATGTTCTGCTAATATGTTTATTTGAAAAGAAACATCTCAATAATGCTAATTCTTCAAACACTGAAATAGTTTCTCCTTACTAGTAGCCATCAGATACGTTAAGTTACATTTCCTATAAACAGCCAGCACGTAGTACAAACTATCTGGTAATACAATTCTGGAACTAGTGTTAATTGTCCGGATATCAGAGAGGTACCATATTAGATGTGTTCATTCATGCACTGATGATCATTCAGAGTGGTTGGTGCTGGATCCGCAGCACTAAAGCTCTTGATGGATTGTGCTGAAATATGCTCCTTCATCTTCAGCATAAACTGGATATAATCTGCCTCTTGGGAATTTACAAGGTGCATAACGTTACACAGATCCTACTCCATTCATTACACCTGTTTGAATCCAACTAAGGGTTGGGAAGGGGCAGGCCCGTAGCCAGGATTTCGTTTTTTTTGGGGGGGGGCTGAATTTTTTTCAGGGGGGGTTTCGGGGGGGCTGAGTTTCGGGGGGGGCTGAGTCTGAGTGAAAGAGGGTCTAGCCTAGCAAACCTTTTGTATCATTACCCCAATACCCCCATGCATATGGGATATACTGAGTATGGTGATCAGATCATGATATGAATAAACATAACAGTTTAAATAATGCACCAATAAGGCCTTTTCGTGAACCACCATGAGAATTTCGGGGGGGGGGGCTGAAGCCCCCCCGAGCCCCCCCGCCCCGGCTACATGCCTGGGAAGGGGGATCACATGGGGACAAATATTTTAGTATTACCCAGTATTACCCATTTTCTACTCTTAATAAATCAACAAACAAATATTTTCCTAGTGGTTTGCCAAAGAAAACTATTTGAACTTCGAAGTGTATAGCTTATAGGGTAGAAGAGAGAGTGTTTTTCCTTATGTACAATGGAGAATTGCACAAATAAAGTTGCATTTCAGTGTAATTACTTCTAAGGGCTAAATCTTCATGTTGCTCAGAACGATAGAACATTTGGTACTACCAAAGTAGCTAAATAGAGATGTAGCCTTGGCATAAATAAACACGGCAGTTTTGGAACAAATATGCGGTCTATATTTTTAGGTATGATTATCTGTTTCCTTAACAACAGAAACGTGTTTTAAAAAACTTCCACTGTCAACCCTGTCTAGCGGCTATTTCCTAGCACACTCGAGAGAGAGCTTCCAGATAAGCTATTGAAGTTGCTGGTCCCCAAGGTTTCTATACTTTCTTGTTGATTTTTTTCAATGACAGAGAGTTCTGAAATCTAACCTTGCTGAAAGGTCAAAGCAGCTCAAAGCTCCTTTCCCACAGTTTAGTATGAAAAATATTTATGAATGTCCCTCAGCAGTCTGAGGGCAACAAACAGGAAAAATATTTCTGGAAAGATTCTATATATGGAAAAAATATCTACACATCCTAGAATAATGGCATAAGCTAATGCTTACAGCAAAAAATGAGGCATAAAAAATCATAGCTGGTTCTTATTTTAAAGTTTGACTTGTTGATGTCATGGAGAAATATGAACCCTATCACTGCCGTCCTTTCTGTTCCAAGTTGAACCTCCACTTACTAGTTTCATAAAGAATAATTTATTCTAGCATACTACCTCCTGCTGGCATTTGACCCTAACATTACTTCTTATTCAGCCAACTTAATGGGGATGTGTTCATCTCTACTTGTACAGTGTTCATTCCCTTTAGGGATTTGTTACTAGGACTAAGAATGATGTCAGTTGTGAAAGATATTCCTCCTGTCACTGATAAAGATGTAGAAGTGAAAGAGAAAGTTTGGTGGGCTGGAGCATACAGACACAATATTAGGTGGGATTCCTGCTAAAACTACCCAGTTTGAGAAGGTTCTGAATGAGTATCTCTTGCAGAGACAAGACTAATCTGTGTCATTTGCAAAACCTCCAAATAAAAACAACTACATTTGATCTAGTTAACAAATACTTGAATATATTTTGCTTACACATTCCCACTTTCATGCAGACAGTGGATTTTGCTAGTATTGTGATAGCACTGCTACCTCCTGCATAAATGCCATATAATAAATGATTGAGGTTTTCCAAGGGGCTGCAGATTATAATTTGAAAAAAACATTAATGAATTCCTATGCACATGACACATATCTTATTTGTAATACAAAAAACATTTTAAAACAATACAATAATTAATAAATATAAGCTTATTAGTATTTCAATGGGAAGTGTGGGCCTGGTTTTGGCTGATGAGGTAGGATTGTTGTTGTTGTGTGCTTTCAAGTCGTTTCAGACTTAGGTTGAGCCTGAGCAAGGGCCGGGTAAATGACCTTGGAGGGCCGCATCCGGCCCCCGGGCCTTAGTTTGAGGACCCCTGGTCTAATATATCATGTAGTTCAATAAAATTAAATGACAAGATAAGATAAAAATAGAGTTTATGTGGTGTTTTAGTACAAGTTCTTAGGTAGAAAAAGGGTGAAGGGAGAGGGGTCTCATCTTGGCTGCATGCAGAACAGGAAAGGTTATTTGCTTTATTTATTTAAAGTAATTCCTCTGCGTTCATGCACACATTCACATAAGAATAAAAGAAAAAAAGAAAAAAGATACTTTGTATAAAAGAAAATCTATTAATTGAGGTATATGGTACACTGTAACTATCTAGGCTGTAATTTTGCTGTGGTATGACTGAGTGGGGCCATGGAGTGATCTCCTGCGCAGCTCTGGACAATCACTGATGTGGATTGAATCAGGCTGAACAGCTGAGCCAGGATGTGGGGAACTGGGCTTCATAGATTTGAGGGGGTCTGCTGCTGGTCCGGGAATGGTTGAGGGAGACTAAAGGAATCGTGGCCATTGCAGTTCATCCTGGCTCTCCATCCTTGGGAAACTACAATTCTCTCCATAGCAGAACTATGGAGAGAACTACCCTTTTTATTAAGAGCGGGGGTGGTTGTGTTTGATAACATAACTACAGATGAAGTATGCTGAAAATAAGGAAACTTGGACATAGCTAGTGTTGACTGGAGGGTTGGGGGGATGCACATGCTCTCTTTTTCAGCTCTGAGGAAGAGGTGGGGAGATCAAGAAGAGAGTATCAAATCTCCACTCACAATATATATACCTTAGAATTATTTGTCTTGGTCAATTTTCCTTACCAGAAACAAGATCAGCTGAGAAAAAAGAGCTTCTGATGAGAGTTGTTTGGGAAGGAAAAAAAGTGATACATATCAGAAAAGTTCAGTTCCCTCCATCTAATCCTCTTTTGCAAAAAAATAAAAATAAAAATCTAATCATCAAAGTCTGAAGTGTGAGTGGGGCAAATGAGTGGCTGAAGTTTAAAGTAATCTGAGGCTGTTTCCCAAAGCCTAACATCTTCAGGACTTCCATTGAACTGACAAGAACAGAGTATGTATATTGCCAAATCGGGTTTCTGCATAGTATTCTGCACATGCAGCACAAAAGATGTGGAAAAGGCTGCTTCTAATGTTGCAACAACAGGTAGCAATTCTGTGAAATTTCAGGGATAAATCTGCATACATGTATAAGTGAGAAAATGCTTCTTGTGCTCAGGACTATTTGCTCTGGAAGGTTAATTGTACTTTTCCACCTAGTTCTCTGCAGGAGGTATGAAACATGTCTCAAATGCCTCGGTATTTGCATTTAAAGAATTAATAAAAATTCCTGGCTGGTCAAAAGGCTTCAATGAACATTATGACCTTGACATTTTTATCACCTCCCAACTTGTTTTTCTCTAGCTGACCAAACAGACTAAATACAAATCTATTTTCCAAAGTATGCAAGCACCAGTCTTCTCCTGAGACTATGCAGGTTCACAGCCATAGTACTTCAAGTTGCAAAACAAAGAACAAAAGCATAAATTCACAACTCTCTCTTTAACCTCAAGCTAGAACACCCATGCAGTTTGCTGATGATAAAAAAGTGAGCATGCTAAGTATTGCTGCCTATTATTCAGTTAATGTATTTTTGTCTTGCTCCTTCACACAGTCTCAGGGTAGATAAAGGTTTAAAAATAACATACATACAA